TTGGAAAGTTTTTCAGTGTTCATTCACCCTCAAAAAGTGCATTATATCAGTATATAGCCTGCACTGCCTTTAGGTTTGACCATCCTCTGGTGATATTGGTACATTATACATCTGAACGATATTGTTTATGTTACTTCCTTAGATATGAATACTTTCCCAACTCACAGGGGTATTTTGAAGATAGCATGGTGATGGGTACTGTATAGGCAGATAAAATAGTGGTTTGCATACACACTTCTGAGTTTGCCCAAGCAGAAATTTGCCCCAGGAAAACTACAAAACAGCATCTAACATTTTAGAAAGCAGTCTGAGGCCCTTTAGAAAATTTCCCCCAAAATGGTCAGAATAGGCAGTGCATCATTCCTGTATTTTTCATTCACAGATCTTTTGTAAAGAAAAAGAAAATGTAAAGCTTGACCTTACCTTTTCTCAAAATGAGCCTGTAAAAAGGTTTCCATCAATATTTGGGGAAATTTCAGATAGATTCTCTGCCTTCCTGTGAATTGGAGAAGTCCTTCTTATTTTAGTACACAACTAGCCTGCTCAGATGGCTTGAAACTGTCTAACTGGCAGCCCACTCCCTCTTTAGTCAGTATATAATATGATAGGGCTTCAACAGAATCAGGATCAAACCCACAGCCAGCCCACTCTTGAGCAAAACAGCAAGATTTCACCCTGCTACTTTTGTGGAGACAAATCTCCCTATGTGTAAAGCCCTGCAAATCTGCAGATACCTGCTTTATAGCCACGAATATCTGCAGATGCGGTTTTCCGCGGACCATGTTTGCGGATCGGCTGTGGATACAGATTTTGTATCTGCACAGGGCTCTATCTATATTTACTCCTTATGTACCAGCATCGTGCAGAGCTGAGCCAGTGGAGGGTGCATTAACAGAATAACATTGCACTAGCAACTGCTCAGTAAGTCAACGTGAACCACTGGAAATAGTGTCCTGGCAAATATGCAGGGCCAAATTTTTTAAGGAGTTATGTTGGGGGTCTGCATATAAATGTACACCTATATTAAAGAATGTGATTACTGTGATTATGCATGCAAATGAAGAGATACTCAGCTACATTTGCACTTACAGTCAATGACTTGAGCCTGGCCCTAGCCTTGAGCTCCCTTCTCGTCTAACTTGTCTCCAGCATCAGCCTACCCAAGAAAGTATCTATATGTACACTAAATTTGTAAAATGTATTTGATCCAGTGACTTGCTACTGTGTAACTATTTCACATTGATCACCATTTGCAAAAAAAACATGGGAGTAAAAACATTAGTGTACAAATGTGGAGGAGAAACATGGAAAATCAGAGCAACAAGATAAGAACATAAGACTGGCCATGCTGGGTCAGACCAATGGTCCATCTAGCCTAGTAATCCAGTCCTCCAAGAGTGGCCAGTGCTAGAAGCTTCAAAGGGAATTAGCAGAATAGGGCAACTATCAAGTGATCCATTCCCTGCTGTCCAGTCCCAGCATCTGGCAGTCAGAGGGTTAGGGACCCCCCAGAGCATGGGGTTTCATTCCTGGCCATCTTGGCTAATAGCAATTGATAGACCTATCCTCCATGAATTTATCTAATTATTTTTTTAACCCAGTTATAGTTTTGGCCTCACAACATTCCCTGGCAAGGAGTTCCACAGGTTGACTATGCATTGTGTAAAGAAGTACTTCCTTTTGTTTGTTTTTAATCTGCTGCCTACTCATTTCTTTGGTTGATCCCTGGTTCTTGTGTTATGTGAAGGAGTAAATAACACTTCCTTAGTCACTTTTTCCACACCATTCTTGATTTTATAGACCTCTATCACATCCCTCCCCCCTTAGTCGTCTCTTTTACAAGCTGAAAAGTCCCAGTCTTTTTAATCTCTCCTCATATGAAAGCTGTTCCATCTCCCTAATAATTTTTGTTGCCCTTCTCTGTATCTTTTTCATTTCTAATGTATCTTTTTTGAGATGGGACAACCAGAACTACACTCAGTATTCAAGATGTGTGTGTACCATGGATTTATGTAGTGGCATTATGATATTTCTTGTCTGTTATCTTATTAGCCGTAAGGGTTCCTAACATTCTGTTAGCTTTTTTGACTGCTGGGTCACATTGAGCGGACGTTTTCAGAGAACAATGAGTTCAAGATCTCTTTCTGTAGTGGTAACAGCTAATTTAGACCTCATTTTGTCTGTATAGTTGGGATTATGTTTTCCAATATTCATTACTTTACATTTTTCAACAAAAGAGTATATTTCCAATTTTCAGCTGACATAATTTGATTTATTCTTTCTTGTTTAGCTTTGGTAGATTATACTGTTAATGAATCAGCAGTATATTTATTATATTGTTAAACGGTGTCCTAAATTCATCTGGCATGAAATAACTGTTCTGAAAAGTCAGTTTACCAATTATATTCACTAAAATATCTGCACACATTTAACTGGCCTCTAAAAATACATCTAATTGTTGAGCATAAAAATATAGCTTAACAATGGCTTTAATTTTTGCAATCGTAGTAGCTTTCTATTTCAGCATTTTAAAAAACCCACCACCTCTTGTAAGCATCGTATTATTAGGCTAGTCATAAGTACTTTTAAGCAAATGCCAATTAATTTTAACAAAACCTATTCAATTATATTCGTTAGATTTTTTTTTTGTAAAGTAATTGAATGGAAAGAAAATGAATTGCACACTACACAGGGTAACTAATTAGTAGGAAGTTAGTTATAGGGTGTTATTTATAAATGTTGATATTTAAAAAACCTCATACATTCCATTTTTAGTTTGTCTTTGTGTTATACAAAATAAGATACTTTTCTTAAGGCTGGGTGGTTCCTTTCATTGCTCTAAGTAGATGGAACTGGGATCCATCATCTCTCTCTCTCTCTCTCTCTCTCGGGGAGATGTACCTACTCTGTGTTCTCCCCTCTTTGAGACACCCCTGAGAGTGATCGGTGGGATTTGGGGATAGGGAGCGGAACAGTAGATCAGCTATTCTCCTTGGCATTACCTCCTGCTGACTCTTTGGATTTTAAAGAGGAAATGCATTCTGGAGTCAATGCTGCTACATGCTACTGCACAGTCCAGAGGAGATACAGCTAGTAGTAGCAAGGACTATGAGCTGTGCTGCTATAGAGAAGAATCAGCAGGGCAGCATATTTTCACCATGGAACTAGTGGTTTCCTTCTTCGTGCAGCCTCAGGAGCTGTAGGAATGCGAGACCATGCCCATTGTATGCTCCCAGGTCCCCTAGGACCTGTCACCCAAAGGGAGGATTGCTTGGAAACTCCACGGCGTAAACCTCACCTCAGTGTTTCCCAGCTCCTCTCCAAAGGGCTCTTTCACAAGAGGAAATTATCCAGTATTTAATTGGTTTAGTAATTACTGTCATTACTACACTAGATTGTAGTAATTATTATGCTTAGCAAATTTTGGAAGCCCTAGTCATAGAAGAAAAACAACATTAAGAGTCCTAACTTTTATTTAACAACACTAATGAAGTCATTGATTTAGTGTTTTTAACATACACAAGCTATTTCACCACAATAACATTGACTTCTCTCTGCCTTTCATACTGAGTAGAGTTTTAAATGGGATTTGTCACAGAATACACAGCTTCAGAAATTGGTTGGCGGTATTAGCAACAGCACTGTATATGAGAGTGTTAATGTGTTATATAGTATGAAGGAAAGATCCTAATTAAAATCTTGTTGCTAAACAAGTGACAAAGACCTTACAAACAGCTTAAGGCTCCAGGCTAGCCGTTGTTGGGCTTGAAGATCAGACTCGGTCAGTGAATGGGAAAATGTTTATAATGTGGTTTGTTTTGTTCATAACACACACAAAAATATAACCAAGCAGCATTGGTGGGTTTATTCAGCTTAATATACATACTGCAATTTCTGGATATATTTCATAGTGGCTGGGGGAGTGAGCCATATCATTTAGACATTAGATAATATCAGAACAGGTATATCTGCATGGTATTTGACCCAATTAAATTAGTAGTTGGATACTAAAGGTCTCTCACTATCATTCAGGCTGCGTGTTTGTGAGGTCTGTATTTGGCAGAGGACCCCCCATCCTCCCCCCCCCCCCCCTCCGGTATTCAAGAGCTCAGAACCAGCTTTTGCTCAAAGAACACCCTGGCCAAGCAGCACATAGTGCTCCCAAAATGTGTAGTTTGGAATACATAGTCCTCTCACTTGCAGCAGCAACAATCAGGTGTAGCCATTAAAATAAATGGCCTTAAACTGGTGTACAACTGGTTTGAGAGGCAAATCAGGCCTTGAGTATTTATCATCCACATCAAAGGCAAAGATTAAGTTACATAGGTATGTCTACACTGTACACTAAGCACAGGCTCTCACTCAAGTTTGAGCTCAAGCCCCCCTCCTATCCACATACATACATCAGATTGACTTGGGTCAGCAAGCACTCGGGACTCAGATCCTAGGATGCTGCTCAGGAGGTGGATCAGAACCTGAGTCTCACTCTGACTTGGGCCCAAGCCCTGTCATTTGTAGTATGGACATGTTAGTATGGCTATGAGACCTGAGTCCAGCAATTATAAACCTGGTATGGACACTCAAGCGCAGGCTTGGAAACATCGAGTCCAGAAGCCTGTGCCCCACAGACCCAGGTTTACAATGCGGCATAGACATACCCATAGTCACACAGTGTATGTGCTTGCTTTTGCAACAGCTAAAAGAGTAGTAATCTCCTGACAGTTTAGCATCAGCTTTTAAGATGCTCAACTAAAATCAATGAGAAGCCTTGACTTCCGCCAGCCTGCAGTTGTGTCTTAAAAAAAGAAAATGAATGAAGTTCATCACTGACCTAAGTGTAATGCGTGGATATACTGAAGTTACAAAAGTTCCAAGCTTGCCATAATGCCAGAAAGAGGTCAATTTGGGAGTCAGATAACCTTTTAAAATAGTGTATTGTACTTGTGTTAATGTGGATCCATGGTAAAAGAATCTAAACTCTACTTTTTTTTTAATTTCAGCTTTTACCAAATGCTGCCAAGAATCTGGCTTTCTTATGATAGTGAAATGTCAACAGGAAAATGCAGCACTGAAAGAATGTCTAACTACATAGTAAGTCAACATGAGACTTAAAAAAAATAAATGTATATTGCTATAGTCATGATGCTATTGAGAAACTGGAAAAAAACAACAACCAAGTCCTTTAGACAGTGCCTGAGTCCGTTATGTAGTTTCAAGGTGCTCTCAAAAAGGTACCACGTATTTTCAGATGATTCCAGAAGTGCATGGAGATGCTAAGCCACTTCAAGCAAGTTTGCAAGGTCTCATGACTTGGGCCTTCCACTACTGAATCTAGGTTGGGGTATTTTCTGAAGGAAAGCAATTATATCTTCAGCTTCATGGATCAGGGAAAGCAAGGCACCTTTTACACTAGCATTTTTTTCTGAAAAAATTCCCATGGTTGTGAACACTGCTGCACCTCTGCTGGTGGTAGCACTGTTTTAGGCAAAGTGCTGGTAGATATTAATATTCTACCATGGTGTCAAAGAGACCTGGACTGAGCTCTCTTTTGAAGCTCTTGTTTGTCCAATGAATGTGATCAATGACTCTGGAAATTTCTTTAGTCTCTCTCTTGTACTCTATTAGGTGTCAGTATCTGCAGCCAGGCTGTTTTTGAAGATTAATTATGTCACTCTAGGGCCGAAAGTCTAAAACTGAAAGGGAAAAAAAATACATTAACGTCCTTACAAGGAACTGTAACAATTACTCTGTTGGTGTTCAGAACAGTCAGCATTGTTTTATAACAACTTTATATCAAAGGTATGTGTTGCCAGGCACAAGTTAACAGTTCTGTTTATGTAGTGGAAGCTTGCATTACTGTAAATATTAATCTGTATGTTAATTGTGGACTTCCTTGTGGAAGTTGTATAAAATAAATTTTGAAAACTGCCTTCAGAGGTGTGTGTATATATATCTGTATAAGCACTTTATTTCCTGGGGCCTCTGCAGCAGACTGTGGAGAACTCAGATCTGAGTATTGGGTGTATAGCAGATGTGCTACAAGGGGAACCAGTATAGAACAAATGTGAAATTCAGATTATTGCTAAATCGTAAGTGGTATTTCTAAAAATTAAACGAAGGTGAATTCAAAAAGTTAGTTAAATCTACTGTTTATGGGCCCTGTCTTGTTTGTACAGGACCAAACACACTGTGCCCTTCACCATAACAGGGCAGATTTGGTTACTTAGGGTTATAATGGGGTAATGTGCTCTTCAGGGATGTGATTTCTAAAGCACACTGAAGTGTTGCACATTAATTGGTCAGTGTAGACCCTGCTGATGCACACTAAAGGTTCCCTTTTGGGCTTTAATATGATACTGCTGAAATAGCACTATTTTAAAGCACACCAGTAGGGTCTACATTGACCAATTACTGTGCGCTTTAGAAATCACACTCCCCAGTAGACAAGCCCTTAGTTGAAAAAAAGGCACAAATCGTGTATTCCTGCAGATATGAAGGGCTTGTTGAAGTGGGGAAATAGCCCCCACTAGCGGCTCTGCACTAAGAGTACCTTTGTGCAGTTTAGCTTAAATCCACTTCCAAAGCTAAACCACACAAAGTGTCTTTGTGTGCAGTAAATATCCGCTAGTGCAGAAAATCTATTGCATTTTGAATGCCGACCCTAGCTTATTTTGCACTAACACCCCTTTATAGAGAAGCCCTAACCTACCCCCTGAAGAGATGATCTGCAGTTGTCATTTTTTAATTAAACCATTTTTAATATGTAATGATTAGGTTATTAGCAATAGGTTGTATACATGAATCACAAATCCTACTTTTGAGTAAAAAGGTATTTGTGTTCTGCTTCTATTACAAATAAGTATATTATTCCATGAAACACAAGTTATCAAAGTGGTTTAATTTTAAGATAAGCAACTGTACAACTATAAATGTTGAGAAAATAGCAGCTGGTATCCAGGAAAAATGCAGTGGTTAGTGGGATTGTGATATCAGAAGTAGTTCCTCGGCTTTGTCCTTCAGCCATAGTGGCATACTTGAGGTCTGAAAACAACATACTCTCCAGCAGAAGGCAGTGTTAGGGAGGAGACAGACATGCAAATTTAAGCTAATTTCTATTGGAAAGAGGCAAATTCAAAATCAACTTGTGTATGGTCATTAAACTCAAAACGTAAAGAGTTATTAATGCTGTAGGTAGCATCTCAGTTCCACAAATGTTAACTTTTTGGATCAAGGTGGAAGTCACAATATTGTTTGTTTTTCTTGTAGCTATAATGATCCAGCATTTTATGAAGAATGCAAAATCGAATACTTGAAGGAAAGGGAAGAATTCAGAGCTACTGGAATTCCTGCTAAACAAAGACAACAGAAGCTTCCTACAAGCATGTAGCTAAATCCTAAAATGAAGTTTGGAAATTTACTTCAGTTATCGACACGTTGATTTGGTGGAATAAGTAAGTTAATTGAATAAGCAGACTCAATTTTGTTTAAAAAAATCAAGTTGTCTGAGGCAGGATTTGATTGAAATAAATGTATCTCATGTTGTATTTTGTGTATTAGGAATAAACTCTTTTATGAATGAATCCAAAATAACTAGGATATATTTTTGACCTGCTCCAAGGGTTTGAGGAACTCTGTTGTGTAGCATATTTTGAGTAAAAAGTTGTTAGACCAATCCATTCTTACTGAACGTTCTCCTGACTTACCCTCCATCCACTAATATTCCTCTCTGTAGAATTTAGAATCAAAGGAAGACATTTTGCTTCTGTTTACCCAAGGTAATAAATTCCAGCTATTGTCTATGTAAAAGAACAATTTAAGGTGTGTCTTTACTCTCATTTAACATTGTTACAGCTGCTGTACAACAAAACACTGTGTATGCATGAACCAGTTAGGCTTGAAAAAATATTCTGAATTTAGCTTGGGAAAAGTGCCCTATCAGGAACTGTTCAAACACAATATTTTTAAAATTCTACTTGTGACTAATTTAACTCGGATCAAATGATTTTAATGACTCTGTTTCTTATTACTCAGCTAAAGTGTGATGATAATATAACTCACTATAATAGAGATTATCATTAAAAGGAGTAAGTAATATAATAACTAAAGGTTTAGTCAGGCCCGCACAGAGCACCGGTAACTTTCTGCTCCTGAGAACATGCCATCTCAATCTTCATTACAGTCCCTTCTGCCCAATTCTATATCTCGGGCTACTGCCCCATTGCTCATTACTTTAGAGTAGTTTTCTCTGCTCAGGAAGCTCACATCTTAAGGAAACCTCATTCAGAGACAGAATGCAGCTGAGATACTGGCAGGAGCATAGTTTAAGGAAAAGGTATTCACAATATAAGGTTTCTTTTTAGTGAAAGCTGGATTGTGAGAAAAGGCTTACGGGAAGAGCGGAAAAGAAACAAGAACATACTAGGCTAAAGAAGTCTCCAGAAGAGAGACAAGGCACAAAGTGTAATGGGAATTTTAACCATCGCTTAAAGAAAAAGCAGACCATGCCCCAAACAAGATAATGCTAGGAGGTAAGAAAGAGTGGTAGAGAAGAGCAAACAAGAGGCAATAGGGTTTATTTTGAAGTTTGCATGATGGAATGAATAGTCCAGCCAGTAGAGGGCGGAGACTGGTAATCTGTCTCTTCCTGTCAGGCAGTGTTACTCCATTTCATTCCTTTTTAAACTCAGCATCTTTGGCTGGAAGAGAAGGTGTTAGCAGACGAAGATACTGCTTTATAGAATAAGAAAATGGCTGTCACAATCTGAAATTGGCCTCAGAAAAATTTAGATCAAGACCAAGAGCACTTCTGTCTTTCGAAGGGGAGAGGGTGCTTACTGAAGTGTCAAAACAGCTGCAGTTAGTTTAGTATCATTCCTCCCCTACCTTCCTGTTTCAAAAGAAGTGATAATGCTTATATCATTAAAAATCTAGTTTACACAATGGAATTGAGTTGCTGTACTTGCGAAATTATTGTGGATGGTGGTAAGTAAGCAACCAAACAACATGTGTATAAGAAACAAAACTATGGGTAAGGCAAGGGTCTAGTAATAAATCAAGAAAATGAAAGTGATAGACAAAGCCAGAATTGTTTCTAGATACGTTCTATAGCATTCTCTGCCTTTGCTTACTGTTTGAAAGAAGCTGTCTCTTTAGAATGCTGTCTTTCACTTGGATTACTGAATCTGAAAAATCCAAGAAGGAAAAAAAACCCTACACAGGTGTGTTAGTTAAAAAGATAACTTGAAACTGCAGCATCCTGTCTAAGCAGTAAAAGGCAGTTTGGGGATTGCTACGTTTTGGGGAGTTTCTCTCCTGTAAAGAATTTGCTTGTAACTTTATTTGGAAGAGAATACATTTCTTACAGCCGGAGACTTACCTGCACTGTTAAAACCAGTAAGTACATTTCAGATGAACAAATTACTTGAGTACGCAAGACTCTGGGAAGCGTCTAATGCTTTTCCCCTACTGAAGAGATTTGTTCGGTGATTTTTGTATTTAATTGTTGCCTGTCAGTATCTTTTATCACCACCAAGTATGGATTGCTCCTGAATTATTGAAATGGAAAGTCTGCTTGGTCATATGTTTGTCCTTGACATTTGGAAATGTGAATATCTTAAATTATAGGTAGAAATTACAGTCCTATCCTTCTGAAGTCTATGCTTATTACCTGAATAATCAAGGACACCACCCTTTTGTCTCAATGGCATTGAAACTACTGAAATCAATGGGGTGTAGGTGTACCCTAATGAACTGGGAAGCCTGAGAACATCTGCAGATAGAGCTGGCAGTGACACCTATTAAGGATTGCCTATCACTTTTTCTATTTTAACACTCTATTTTCAGTTGCCAAATTAACTATATGCTAAGGTTTTCTACATTTGCTGTCTGCCGCAAACAGATCTTTTGGGGGAAGTTTCAGCAAAAGAAGACAAGCCATTCCTGAGGATAGGGAGAAGAGCTTTTTTCCAATGTTAATTCCAACCATTTCTTTGGAGAAGGAATTTTAAGTTTAGCAGTAGGATGGCCCGCGAACAGATGCTTTTTACTGTCCCTCTGAAAATCTATCAAGATTTGGCCCAATTATAAGCTGCTGAAAATCACCATTTGCACATGCTAAAAGAGCTCTTTAGAGGCTTGCTGCTAAAGTCTCCAACAATTGACTCTTGATCATTCTTTTAAGGCCTGTGGGACTTGGCCTCAGCAGTCACCAAATGCACAGGAGTTCTACTAACCAGGTGCCCTGGGCATGCTCCCAGGCCCCCACTCAGCCTCCTGCATAGTAGGAGCTGGAGCTTCAGGGGACACAGACACACCAGTAGCAGGAATTTCTCCTGCAGCCTAGCAGAAGATGACCTTCCATTCATTAGTTTTAATTCTGTGCAGTCCACAGTTCAGATGCAACAAGCCTTTCCACTCCTATGTGTACCATTCTCCTTCTGTTTTATGGATATGGAACCTGAGGGGTTGTCCAAGCTCGCTGCTGACAGAGCTGGCACTTGCATTGTTTCTATGCCGGCAGGCCCAAATCTCATTGATTGATCTATGCTGACTGTTCCAAACCTTGGCTTGACTGCACTGTCAACCACTAGACCCTTGCTTCATTCAGTGTCCAGGATGGGATGCCAGCTGGGTTCTGTTCCAGTGCAATGCACTCGCAACTTTAACTTAGGCATTTGGTAAGTTTTGGGCATTTTGCAACCTTAACATTCTTTTAATGTATTGTTTTGTGTGTACCTGAATATATTTTATATAGCCACTCATAGAAATCATGTCACTATATCCACTAAAGTAGCTGTCTTTTATGAAAATAACTATGAAAGAGGGTCAAACTCCCAACAGCAAGTTTAGTATTGTTTGTCACTGCCCTTCCTTCCTTCTGAAGTTAACAGGAAACAACTTTAGATTTTAATCAGTATAAAAATATGAAATCTATAGTATTACCAGTGCTTGTAAATTGTGTGTTAATGGTGACATGGAACAGTCTTAGCTTGGCGCCTTACATCTTTTAAGGATAAGGCAGGTTTTGTCCTTGTAAGAAGTTGTTCAGGAATTTGAGGAGGGGGGAGGAGGCTGGTGCATTTTAAGTAAGCTGTTCTGAAAAGTTTCAGAATCTTAAACATAGTGGGAGCTGCCATGTAAATGCTCTAGGAAAAACAACATGGCATCTGCTAAACAGATTGTGTATAAATGTGTAAGCAGAGTCTGAATGAGCCCTCCCCTGACATCTAGTGATCTTGTTTACATGGGCACACCTACCCTGCCTAGGGGCTCAGCATGATGGGATTGTTTGTCCAAATGATCACTTTTGGCTGGTGTTGGATTCCCAGTCTCCTTGTTATTGGGGCAGGAGTAATAAACGGTTGTTATCCTTATTGTGTGAATCAAGGGCAGCAGAACTGTACTTGGCATATCCTGATTGAGGGACTCACCCTCACTTAAATGGCACTCGCTAGGTAGAGGTTCCAAAGCCCAATGAGTTGAGAGAGGGTGGGGATAGGTACTTGTATGGGGAGGCCTCAGACACCATTTGACCCTTCCTCTCTCCACTGTGTAATAACAGCTAATTTAGACTCAATTGAGAGTCTTGATACACACCACAAAGCTGAAATCACTGATACCTAGGTCTAAATTTTAGACTGTTTTGGGACAGTGTCGCTAATGCAAGAGCCTGCCCAGTGTGCACCAGCAGTGAGGCTCCCCCCACTGACAGCTGAAATCACAGAGAGCTGTGTTAAGTGGTGGGACCTGAAGACATCCCAGCAGATTAGTAAGTGGTCGGCAGGGTGGCATGGAGATCCGGTGCCAGGGCTGCCAATGAAGAGGAGCAGAGCGCTGATCAGCTGGCAGGGCAACGAGCGAGTGAAGTGCCTTCTTACCCTACCTCCAACCAGGGTGGCAGGTGAACTCTGTGGATTCACCTCTGGACTCTGGGTCTGCACTGACCAAGGACAACAACTGTGAGTAGGGTGCAGAGACAGGATGGGCACGTTAAAGGGACTTTTGGTTGCTGGACTTAAGAACCTGACTGAAAAGGACACTACCCAACTTATTTGGGGGGGGGGGGGTCTTTTGCTGATGGTTTATGTTTATGAACCATGTTTGTGGTGGTGTTTTCCCAACTTAAAGCCAGGTTATTTCCCTCCTTTTATTAAAAGTTTATTTTCTACACTCACAGTCTGTATTTCTGAGAGGGGAAGGATTGCGTCTTAGTGGTGCCCATGGGATGGTCTGTAATTGTCCCAGGTTGCTTGGTGAGGACTCAAAGTGGTTTTGCGTTGTATTGTTAGAGAAAGCCCTAGATATTGAACCTGGCTCTTGGTGCTGCCAATTCTAAGAGGCAAAAGCGTTAAGGCAGGTACATCCTTAGTGTTTTGAAAATGTAGCAGCTAAGTTGAGAAACACAATGGCGTCTAAATATAAAGCATTAAAGTGAAGGAGACTAATACATTGATCTATGTGAGATTAGCAAGTCTGGAGTACGTCAACTCAAGGGTCTTAAACCAGTGTGAGATCAGAATCAGACCCACTATCTCCCAAAACTTGGCCTAATGAGGCGTTATGAAGCCTTCAATTTTTATTT